GTATTACCTTTCTATTCTGAGTTCAATAAATAGTTTCATAATTTCAAACTTCAATGTTTCTAATTTACACCTTTCTTTACTATATTTTATGAAAAGGGTAGAAACATTAATACATATATCTTTCTGTTTAATTGCTATTAAAATTAAAATAATTAATTTCCAGGGGGCGCTGAGTAATATTTTTTCTGGAAAGGGGGCGGTAGGCCAAATAAGTTTGGGAACCACTGAGATAACTGATGCATTAATGTTATATTACATGTATTTCCCCTTCTATAGTATCTGCCTCTTTTTTTTTTTTTTTTTTTTTTTTTTTTTTGCACAATTACAACATGCGGACAAAACCCAGAAGAGGGGAGCAGGCCTGGCATTTGCACCCCAGTGCAGCAGTTGGTCACACCACCAGCACAAAGCGAGACACATGAAGGGGCTACGATCTGCGATGATCTGACAGTGGTGGCAGAGGTGAGGGCGCAGGTGGTGCAGCTGCTACTCGTCCTCGTCCGAAGACTCTCTCTCACATGTGTAGGCCATGAAGCAAGCGTCGGGTCTCACAATCTCAGAGTAAAATAAATTAGCTGAAAGACTGACCCCCTGACCATCCCCTCGCCCACCCGGGATCTGCAGGGGTGGGTGGGACGTGAGGAGCACCCGGGGGCTCTGGCCCAGGTCACTGCAGCCGTTAAGGGGGGAGCAGGAGCGCTGTGCAGGCTGAGCGGCAGGTGCGACTGGCGTGAACGCGGCGCTGGGTTCATTCCCCTCCGTCTCTCCCGTGAAACAGTGGCTGTTGAGGATCCGCTGCAGGGAGGATTGGCCGCTGGGTCGAAACCAGGAAAACCTCCGCTGCTGCTTTACCATCACCGAGAGCTCTCATTCATGGCCGCGTCCACGTGCCTAGAACCTGACTGTGCGCGGCGGCCCCTCCCCCGAAGGCTTCCTCCCCACGTGCTCGTCTGGTTCGCTCCTGCCTTCTCTCCGAGTCCTTGCTCACAGGCCACCTTCTCCAGGAGGCCCACCCTGTTTACACCTGCAGCCCCTCCCGTCCGGGGGGCCTGGCTTGGTGGTTGAGTGTCCAGCTACGAACCAAAAGGTCACGGGTTGATCCCCGGTCAGGGCACGTGCCCGGGGTGCAGGCTGGATCCCTACTGTGGGGCGTGCAGGAGGCAGCCCATCAATGATTCTCACTCGTCATTGATGTTTCTCTCGCTCTCTCCCTCGCGGAAATCAATATATATATGTATTTATTTATTTATTTAAAATGCCCCCTCCTACCCCACAGGCCCCCAAGCCCTCTTCACCACACTTATTGTCTTTCCAGACCATGTCTCCCTCCTCTGCCCGTCAGCGCCCCGAGAGCAGGGCCTTTGTTTTGGACTCGGGGGCAGTCCCAGTGCCAGGAGAGGATCAATATTTACCGATTCCATGATTCCGTTTACTTATGGGAACAAAAAGCCGTTCCCTAAGTTCCAGCACTACCCACCTCCAAAACCTTATGGGGATCACCAGGTTCCGGCCCAAGTTCCCAAACCCTGACCCTGGAGTCCCGGGCTGGCCTTCTGCTGTGGAATCCGGTTCTGGAATCCTCGCCCCGGGCTCTGGAGTGGGAGGGAACCCAGACCCCACACCTGGGGTCCAGGCCCCCAGGCCCGGGGTGCAGAGCTCGGGGTCCCCAGACTCCGGCTTCGCCATCCGTCCCCCACCCCCTTCCCTCCAGCCCGGGCCCGTCATTCCGGGCTCAGGACTCAGGCTCGCAGTCGCGCCGGGAGTCGGCGGCGGCCCCGTCCCTGG